GAATCACAAAAAATAATTTTGTTCAGAATTACAAATGAAAGCAAATTTTCTTTCTCTTTTAGTATATTGAGGTTAACAGAAGAGCAACTAAAAGCAGTTAAAGAAACATAAATGAGAAAGTTCAAAGAATTTCATTCCTCCTCTTCTAGAAATATGGCAGACCTGCTACTTTCCTGAAGGCAGGGAAAAAAACCTCCAAAATGCCTTCATATATAAAATCAGACAGACATTTTCCACTGGTATTAAATAATTAGTTGGCAATATGAGGCTGGTGCCAAATACAGCAAATGATTTCCACCTTTCCTGTATCTGAGTAAACAGGAACACTCAAAATTGTCATCTCTTGGGCTGGAGATGTGGCTCAAGTGGTAGCACGCTCGCCTGGCACGCGTGCAGTCTGGGTTCAATCCTCAGCACCACATACAAACAAAGATGTTGTGTCCGCCGAAAACTAAAAAATAAATATTAAAATTCTCTCTCTCTCAATAACCAAAAACAAACAAACAAAAAAACTGTCATCTCCACTCAGCCATTCAGGGAAAAGCCTAAAAACCAATCTTATGTGCCTACCAACTGAGAACTCAATTATGCTATTTCTTCATACTAGAAAGAAAGTTCAGCTGGTTTCAGAAAATGACAATTTACTCAAACTCAGGGAACAGCAGGATGTAGAACAGGGTCCTTAAACTAAGGGTCCACAGCTAACACTACCTGATTTTATAAATTATGTCTGTCTTGATACAACACAGCCATACCCATTCATTTTCATCTCATCTCCTGCTGCTTTTCTTGTTATGTTGGCAGAATTCTATGAGTGGCTGCAACAAAGATCACCTGGCTAGCAAAATCCATAATATTTACTATCTGACCCTTTACAGAAAGTTTAAACTCCTAGCATAAGAAAAAAGAAAAATCACAAGACTAGGTGTTAGGAGATGTTTTTAAGTTCTGATGTTGCCCCTGGTTATATTAATATAACCTGGATGATCAAATAATATTTCTGTGCCTGATTCTTCATCTGTGAAATGAAGGGATGATACCAGTGGACTACACAACAGTCTGTGGGCCAAATCCAGTCATTCTGTTTTGATATGGCTTGTTTTGTAACTTAAGAATTTTTTAAATACAATTTTAAAGGGCAGGTAAAAAAACACACACACACACAAGAACAGGAAACAGAAACTGTATGTGACCCACAGAGTCAAAAGTATTTCTATCTAGTCCTTTTAGAGCATTTGTTAATACCTGTTTAGAGTAAAGGAAATCCAACCTGCTTATACATTTAAACTGACCATAGGCACAGAATCTATCAGTGGCAGAACCAGAATGAGGACACAGACCCTCTGAACCCTGGGCCTTAATTCTCTCTCCAAGACCCCTCCACACCACATTCTAATTCCTGAGGAAAATCAGTTTGTAATATCTAAGGTAGTATACTTGCTCACATTTGTAGGACCCTCGCTTTTTACTGTTTCTACCATTACACAGTCCACTACCACCTGAACAAGAGTTTACTGATTGAGTTCCCTGCTCTCCGTCTGGCCCCACAACAATCCAATATTCAACCATCAGCTAGATGTGAATCTCACTGTCACTCCAGAGTTTAAAGCACTCCATGCATAGCTATTTCATTTCCACTCATGTGACATAAAACTTGTCAGTTTAAAATCTATGACTTTTCCTTAAGGTACTGCCCTTTCTATACTGTATAGCTTCTGATACGCAGTATTTCCCCACAGTATTTGCTGAAACTTCAGTCTGGATTTCCTTTTCTCTCACAATTTTTGTTTTGTGTTGTTTTTACAAGTTTAAAAAAGAGATTTCTTCTTAAATCTTCTGGGTTATTATTAAATCTAGGTTTTATAAGGTAAGAATATTACCTGTATAGTCATTTTTTAAAATGTTGTATGTCTCAATGTACTTTGGTTCTACTCATTTAAACTGGCATAAATTAGGAGTATATGACTCTACTAGTATATTTCTATAAAAATAACATAAAGCAAACCTAAATCCCCTCTAAAATGCATAATTAAAAGCAGAAAGCAATAGCCACAGTTTCAAGTTGACATTCACAAGTCTACTGTACCACTAACAGTGATTAAAGTTGAAATAATAAGATTATCTCACCATTGGTTTACCATAAAATGGAAATCCTTGTAACTGTCTCAAAGCATTTGTGGATGAGCCTAGTTCCTTAAAAATAACAAAGGCTTGCCCTCTCATCTTCATCGTCTTTAAAGCCACTATATCTACCACATGCCCAAACTGAGAAAAAAGGGCATATAGGGATCTCTTCAATTCTGTTCAAATAGAAGGAAAAACAAGTCATTTGTGAATGAAACAATGACAAAATTCATCATAAAATGGCATTGTATTGAGTGCCCCACTATTCATTTACTTAGTTCTACAGTTATTTTAATAAAAACACATCATATTATTCCCAATATTGAGACCATAATGAGTAAAACCAAATCTCACACACTGTCAGGCTCTACCTATTTCTATTTTAAAAAAGTTTTAAATGCCTTACATAAAACAGAATAAACTATTATTTCAGGCACTAAGAAAAATGACTAGATGAGAAGTTTTGGAGCTGTATAATTCTTAATACAGTAGTGAATAAACACATTTGAGCAGGGAGTGGTGTTGAGGACTGAACCCAGGGCACTCTATCACTGAGCTACATCATAAGACCTCTTTAATTTTTGAGATCAGATCTCACTAAGTTGCCAAAGCTGGTCTTGAATTTGAGATTCTCCTGCTTCAGCCTCTCTAGTCATGGAGATTGTAAGTATGTGTCACTGTACTTGGCAATAAATACGTTTTAGTTTTATTTTTGTTTTTGATGGGGAGAATAGGATACTGGGAATTTTGAGGCAGGGTCTCACCAAGTTGCTTAGGACCTAGCTAAATTGCTGAAGCTTGCCTCAAACTTGCGATCCTGCCTCAGCCTCCCTAGTTGCTGTAATTCCATGCATGCACCATTGTGCCCAACTAACACATTTTTAGTTGTGAACAAATATTTTAAAAAACACATACCTTCTTTTTTAATTTTGTCATTCATATTGTTGATATAAATTGTATGATTTGGTCTGATATCCATGTTTGGGTCAGATTCTTCAAGTAGCCTAAAGAGACAATAAATAATCTGTTATTAACAAGAATTAGATCATATTGGAATGTGGCAAAAGGACATAACACAAAGGTTATTAATCTTTCAATTCTCCTTCAATCTCAAATGTCAGAAACTATCAGTTGGCAGTAGACTTTACTTCTTCCCTAGTATTTGCTAGTACTCTTTTTTAGGCAAAACAATAGTGCTCAGGCTCAAAACTTGGTAGAACAAGCTAGATGTGGTAGCACACATGCCTGCACTTTTAGCTATTCTAGATACTGAGACAAAGAGGATAACAAGTTACAAATCAGCTTCAGCAACTTTCGCTGGGGAATGTTAAGTCAGTGAAACAGCAACCCTGGGTTCAATCCCCAGTAGCACAAAATGAATAAATTAATTTAAAACTTGGTGGATCAGCAGTACATAACCATATTCCAATAACCTCATTTTATTCAAAATAATACTTTCTTATTTACCTTCCACTTAGGAGAAATGATAGTTTTTTCACCTGCCTGATATAACTTCTTTTTTGATGCTTTAAAAACTTAGATATGAAGAAAAATAAAAAAGAGACCAGCAAACATATAGTATCATCATGACAGATCATTAAATGAAGTTTGCAAAGTCCTTCACAGGTACACCTATATAGAACTTTCATGCCTATTTTAATTTATATACACCATCACCAAGGTTGACTCCAAGGTTACCACTAACCAATGTGAAGTAATGGAGTTCAGAGAGAAAAGTGTTGCATGATGGTTAAGAGCTCAGATTCTAGTGCCAACCAGATAGGAACTCAAACCTTGTCTATGGTTCTAACTAGCTGTTTCATGGAAGTTAAGTTCCTTAATCTCTCGGATCATCATCTGTAAAATGGGAATAGTAACAGTACCTACCCAATAGAACTCTTGCATTGTCAAAAAGGACCTAGTAGCTAATATTATCAGTTACTGAAAGTTAGGGGGACTTGCCCAATGAAACACACCTAATAAGCAGCAGGCCTGAGAATTCAGCCCTTGCCTTCGTGTCCTACATATTCCTTTATCTCACAAATATTACGATGTATACGAACGTCACATGATGACTTACTAGGGAAGAGTAATACTTATGCAGAAAACAGAATGAAAGATATCGCCTCTCAAAAACTGGGAACTCCCTAAACTGAAATTTGGAGAAGGGCTGGGGGTCATGAAGTAGACAACTAGTAGGAAGTTGACCTAAGTCAAAATGATCTTGCAGTATCTAGAGGTTGACGGTGGGCTGGATTCGTGAAGGGGCACCAGAAAATGCTACATCCCCCGCCTCCGCAATCCAAGAGAGCTGCTGAAAGTCACCTGAAAGTGCAGTGAACTAAATGCAAACGCCAAGCACGAGCACATTATTATCCTTTACCTCGCAAGAGCAAGCTGCCTGCCTCTCCAAACACCCGCACGTTTGCCAAATGCCCGGGTCCGAAGCCCAAAGAAGCTGCCACAAATTCCAAGCCCCAACCTGTCCCACTAGAGAGGAGGCTCCTAAATTCGTAGGGCCTTGCCACGCCAGCCCGTTAGTCTTGATCCCTTCCTCGCCCCCACGCCCACTCCTTCGCGAACCAGTGGTCAGATGCGTCCCGAATCCACCTTCGTGTCTCGTTTGCTCCGGTTCAAACAGCGGAGAGTCCGGCCAGCTTCCGCAGCAACCGAAAGGTACAAGCCACTTCTGCCCACCTGAGGCCTAAGAAGCCAAAGCCGGAAACAGAGGCAGGCACCGGAAGTAAGGCTACCGCGCTTCTCAATCGAGCGCCGACAGGTCGAGAAGCCGAGCTCCGAGTCGATCGATGCCACCAGATCTCGGGCAAGCACGGCTAAGAATCTCTCGGCGCATGCGTATGCCTGGCGAGGTAAGGGAGGAGAGGAGGGAGATGGCGGGAAAGGGGAATGGGGAAGGGAAAGAGATTGTGTGGAAATTTAACTGGGGTCCTAGAGCCATACTGTGAGGGAAAAAGGAAGGGAAGTGATTCATTTCCTTTACCAAAACCTTTAGAGGTTTTACCCCAGACAGCGGTGCCTTCCATCTTTTCAAATCCTATCTAATTTTGCAGGCGCAGTTTCTTTTGCAGACTACCCGCTCAGGTGGTTCTCCTGTGGGCTCTGTCACACCACGGTTTAACCTCGCCTTAGATGCCCCTCCTTCAGGTCTCCTCCCATTCCAGGGTCTCTGAGGGAACTCTTCTCCAGCACTGCTACTGGTTTTGAATCTCAGAGGCAGCTCAGCTTGAGATTCCAGAGCAAAGAGAATTGGTATATCTGCCCCCTTAGGAAATAAGGCGACCATGCCTCAGCTCTGGAGGTACCCAGTCACGGTAAGATCAACTGCCTAAACTCACTCAAAATCAAACCCACTAATTCCTTAATAACCCTCCTACTCTCTCCTTTCCCCTACAAAATGCCTAATCTTTCTAGAGTAATTTAAGGAGTTAGTGTTTATGTTATGATGAGTGGTAAGTCCAAACGGTGCATTCATTCATTCCATTCTTTCATACATTCATCATATGTGTGTAAGGAAGGCATCACTGGAATATGGGAAGGCTTTTAAGAGCCAAAGGAATCCGATCATGTGTCCCCCTCTTAATATCTCTGACCTTCACTTTCCTCACCTGTAAAATAAGCATCTTATAATGCCTCCTTCTAGTTATTGTGAGGATTAAATGAGCTAACTATAAAGTGATTATCCATTTTCCAGACATAAAATAAATGGTTCATAAATGTTCGTAGCTAGCTACTAAATGCTAGCTATGATTTGGACATAGGGACCAAATGAGTTGATTTCACCAGCTAGGATCTTTTATTTTGAAAGATCATCTAAAGATGCAACTTGAAAATTGTGTGTGTCTTGAGGGTAGGGAGTTTTGTCTGCTTTGCTCACTCAAGTAATTAGAAAAGTGACTGATAACAAATACATCTTGAATGAATGAAAGATGCTTCATGGAAAATTAGGCAACACTAAAGCAAATGTGATATCACTAAGAGGCACATAAGGATAGGAATTAATCTTAAATGATCACTGAAAAGCATTCTTTTATCATAAAAATTAGGAGAAATGTAAGTAATCTTATCTCAAAGACTTATGAGTGTATCCTTAACAAATTACAACAGAAATAATTTCTACATAATAAAGGACAAGCTGCCCTACTCACTAGTAGGGGCATCTGAGTAATGACTTAATTCTGTTTGATACTAATGAGAATGGCTAAAATACATTTCTGGAAATAAACTCTAATTTAACTGTATTATATAAATGGATCCTGCCAGGGGCTGGGATGTAGTAGGTTCAATCCCCAGAATCATAAATAAATGAATGAATAAACAAATAAGTAAATCCAAGAGTTCATTAACTATGAAAAGAAGATACATATACCCATGCAAAGCCACTCCAGCTTGGAAGAAAACACCACAGGAACCTTAGAGGTCTAAAGATAGACTGACATTGTGTTCCATTAACAACCAAATTAATGGCTACTATTCATTACTGTGAGAAGGATGCCAGCTCACTGGCAGTGGTCTGCATGCTGTTTTCCAGGTACTTCTTTAAAAAAAAAAAAAGTGCATTTTCCTGTCCTTGGGTAGTCATTTGGGGGTTTTGAATAATCTGTTAACAATCTTCAGTGGTTTCCTGAGTGATTTTGAAAAACCAGTAACTCAAAGCAGGGATGGAAGGAAATGAAGGGAAGAGAGGAGCTTTACTGGTCCTGTGAGAAACCTTCCATCATCTGGTTATGTAATTCTGCAATGTTATAAACATTATAGCATCCAAATTCTGGTCAAATGTACTGTAAAACAATTAGCATTCCTCTATAACCAAATCCTCTACAACATCTGACCTCTTGCAGGAATCAGATGTCAAAAATTCACATTTTTTTAAAGTAAAAGAGCAAATATGTTTTCTTGGTATTCTCAGTTTGGACTCATATTTCAGGTAGACAACATGATTTACCTTCCTGTAAAACAGGCTTTTTATCGAACTAAACCTAGAAGCAGTGCAATAACCACCCTATCCATGTTTCATGTATCTGCTGATGATAAAACTTGCTTATTTTAGGGGCAACAGAAAAATTTACTACAACCAGGTGGGAATAAAACTGTGTCAAGACATTTGAATTATAAGGATGATAACTTAGGTGTCTCCAAGTGATTCCAAATACACATACATTTTCCTACCTTATCTCTACGTGTTTTATGTTTCTCATTAAATGTTCTCAGTATCTTGCTGCACTAGTTTTGAGAAGGGGCCTTGTATAAATGAAAATGTATCATAAAACCATGGTGGATATATGTCTTATTTATGTTAGATAGAGCCACCAAATGTATAGCAATTTGTTTGTATCTTCCTTTTCTCCCCAGGTGGTGATTACATTAAGAAATTTATGTAGAGTAAAATTATTTTCACAAGAAGCATTAAACAATTCTAAACATTATTGTTGAGCACCAAATCAGGTTTGCATTTTCCCAGGTGGCTGAAATTATGTTGGCTAAAACTTCCTAAAAAGCAACTCCCATTTAGAGAGCAAATAATTTTGTGCAATTAATTTCTTTTTATTTTACTTCAATCTTACTGTTTTATTCTTTGTGAACACATTATTGTTTTTAGAGACAGTAAAACAGAAACAAAAACAAATGAGTATTACCTCTGATGCATACAATTGTGTTAATGTTAGTAGTAGAGTGTCATTCATGTATACCAAAATAAACTTTTTTCCCAGAAAAGGTGGAATCTGAGAAAGACTCTGAAAATGTGTTCATTCCACAAAGTTTGAAACAGAAATTTGCCTTTGAGGACCTTATATCCAATCCAAAGACAACTTCTGACCATTTAGTATTGTGAGATATGTAGGTTGTGCTCAGTATAGTATTATCTGCCAATACTGTATTGTTCTCCCTGGAATTCAGCTAAAGTAACATCACATACCTGCCATTCCCTTGGAGACTAGAAAAATAAGATGCCATTCCCAGGAGAGCCGCCTACCAAGCAAGTACAGCAGGTTTTGCTTTTCCTCTGATTCATCACTAATTTTCTTTTAATCATAAGCCCTATGGCTATTTGAAAATTCAAATTTAAAAAAAGAAAACCTTTTTAAACCTTGGGCACCATTTGTGTAATTTCAACCATGACATATTATTTCATGGGTATACTCCAGAAGTTCTAATTCACTGCTTTTCAAATGTTAATGTGCATGTGGTTCACCTAGAGATTTTGTTAAAATCAAATTTTTATTTATTAGGTCTGGGATAGAGCCTGAGAAGCTGCCTTTATAGCAAGCTCCCAAGTGATGCCAACGCTGTTGGGTACCAAGATCCTAAGCATTTCCTCTTGAAGAATGGTCAGTAGATTATCCCATTGTTTTACAATAGTTAGTTCTAGAAGCACAGAGATACTCTAAGATATGGAATACTAATTGTCTTAGCCCATTTTCTATGGCAAATATAAGATTAGGCAATTTATAAAGAATACAAGTTTATTTGGCTCACTATTCTGTAAGCTGGAAAGTTCAAGAATATGCCACTGGAATCCAGTCAGCATCTGGTGAGAGCTTTCTTGTTGCATCATAGCATGGTGGAAGGCAACACATGGTGAAACACAGGAAGTGTGCTGTAGCTCATGTTTATAACAAAGCCACTACAATGATAACCCATTAATTCATTAATCCAAGGATAGAATAATCCAGATCCTTCATTACCCGATATATGTAGGCCAAACATCCTGGTTCTCAGTGCTGCTTCAATGGGAATTGAGTTTCAACATAGGTTTTAGAAGGAACAAACCTCATCCAAATCATAGCAACAATTTTCTTATACAAACAGATCAACTGTTTATCTCCAAAATGATTATATTTATCTGGCAGTTTCCTTTATTTTAACTGCCTTCTACTGGACATTGGGAAATACATGGTCAGTAGATTATCCTCTTACAGGTAAGAGTAAAAAATTCTGGAATTTTTGCTCCCCTTCAACAAATGATTGTGAGGCCGTAGGTCACTTTCTAATTTATGATGTTCATTAAAGCACTGCAAAATATCCCAATTCTTGTCACCTTTTTTCACCAGGCTTCTGGAAGGCCTTAAAAGCTTTACAACCTTTGAAAATTGGCATTGCCATGTGCCTTCTTTGGCTAATAAAGTGTGAGAAAATTAGGTATGTAGTACTTCCAGGTAGAAACATCAAGAGCTAGTGCACAGTTTGCTAGCAACCCTGTTTCCTGTTTTCATGATCTTGGAAACATATCCCAATACAGAACCTCTATCAGACTTAGGTCCTAAGTGATTATAAGGGTTATAGATACCCGCCCCCCGTCCTTTAGGCCCCCAAACACCATGTAACATAAGTGATAAATAATTAACTGATATTTGAGAGATACTTGTTAATGCAGCATAGCTTAACCCATCCTGACTTTATACAATAATTAAAACTACCTCTGAGAAATAATTCTTAGAAAGTTCAAATAAAAATTGTATACAAGCTATTTTACAAATATAGACTGTTTTAGAATGTAAGAAGTTAAATATCTAAGGTGATGCATATACTTTGAAGGGGAAATCAAGGTAATCAGTTTTAATTATATGATCCATTTTGAGCATCCTTTATTAAGTAATTTAATTTTGTATTTATTGAGCAACTATATAGATACTCCTTGACTTATGTCCCAATAGACCTATTTTAAGTTGAAAATATTATAAATGAAAAAATGTGTTTAATACACATGACCTATCAATCATCACAGCTTAGTCTAGCCTGCCTTAATTTGGCTCAAAACTCTTACATTATCCTTTAGTTGGGCAAAGTCATAATGAAGTATTGAGTATCTCATTTAAGTTATTGAATACTATACTGAAAGTGAGAAACAGAATGGGGTGTTGGTACACAACATCATAAAGTCAAAAAATGTAAAGTTGAATTGTCATATGTGTAGAGCCATCAATATAAAATGACTATATAAGAAAATACATTAGGGCATAGATGAGAAGAAAATCTGGTTGGTGGCATTTTCACGTCTCAGAGATGGGTGTGGAAAAAATAAAGAGATAATGTTTTCACACTCTAATTTTAGATTGGTCAGAATCATTTTGCAACAAAAGACCAGGATATGTGTAAAACATTTCAGGCAAGATTTAACCTGAAGAGACAGGTTGGATTCTTATCACAATGAAACTGAATGAAAAAATTCTGAAACCTCTAGTTTGAATTGCAGATTATGTCCGGACAAGACAACCCTGAAAATTATTTCTGTCTAGGGAATCCAAAACAATTATGTAAATGAGGCTGATATTCCCATTCTATTTTGTTTAAGGTGAATGTGGGGCAGTTTCACTGTTATAATATTATAAGTTTCTATAATATTTACTGGCAGAAACATCATCACATGGGTTAATGAGTTTATTAAAATTGATGGTGAAAAAACAAGAGTACGTGTCTTGTTGATATTGGATAGTCTCCCTTAAATCATAGTCTTTTCAGCTTTCATATGAAGCTACATTCTGACCTTTATTGTATCAAATTACTTCAGCTCCTGAAAGATATTAATATAACTTATAATACATTTTGTCATCTCAGTAGAAGATTCTGAATAAGACTGGTCAGTTTAGAAGCATGGAAGAAATTAGTTCCAAGTTATTTCTTTGTGACTGAAATTGCAAATGTCAGATTTCATTTCAAGTGGCCAGAACTGAAAGAGCTCATTTTTCCTTCATTCAACATAGGGTATCCCAGAAGTCTTTGTGCTTTAAGTAGCCCAACTTTGCTATACTGTAACTTTAGGACTTTTTTTTTTTTTTTTGAGCACCTACAACATAGCAAATCCTATTTTAGCTGATTGAGATAGTATCATAATCAAGATAGACATAATACCTGCTTTCACAGAGCTTCTGATCTCAGGAGATGTCAGAACAATGAGTGAATGTTTGTGAGATGTGAATAACTACTGTAGAGATGTCCTCTTTGCTACATTACAAATTATCCCAACATTTGATGGTTTAAAACAATACCTGTTGAATTATGTCTAATGGACACTGTGAATCAGAAATTCAAGCAGAGTGTGGCTGGGCAGTTCTTCTACTCTTTGGAGTGACTAAAATCACTCAGTGGGACTCAGCTGGTGGATTGGATGACACAGAGGATATAAAGATTCACAAGTTTGGTGTTAGGAATGGCTGAAAGACTGAGCTCAGATGGGGCTGTCAACTCTAGCATCCATACATGGTATCTCCAGCCTGGTGGTCTAAGGGTAGTTGAATTTCTTACATAGTGGCCATGTTCCCCCAGATCAAGTATCTCAAGAAAATTAAGTGAAAGCTTTGTAACTTTGGGAACCTAATCTAGGATGTCACACAGCAAAACGTTCAGCAAGTTCTTTGGTTACAAGTAAGTTAGGAATCCAGCCTACATTCAAATTGAGGAAAATCAGACTCCATTTCTAGATATGGGAATGGCAAATTCCCATTGTAGACAACTCTGGAAAGGGAGATGCTTTTTATGGTGGAAGGAGGGAATTCATAAAGTTAAGAAGGAGCAGGTTTGAACAGTAGTAGGAGGAGTTATAGAGTATAAGTACTTCCTGAAAAGGTGCTGAAATAGAAAGGAATTTGCTAAATTTGGGGAAGTGGAAGAAAGAAGGAAGAGGAGAAACTGAAGGTGAAGAAAAAAAAAAAAGACCAATGTACCTGGATCCCAAAGGGTCAGGGAGAATTTGATTTTCTAAAGTGAGATTTCAAAGGTCTGATAGCATCTTGAAAACCATGTTAAGATATTTGAATGTAATACTGAGAGTAATAAAAATCCACTTTTTTAAGCAGGAGGTAACATGACTTAATGTTTTTTATGGGTCTTTCAGAATGGATTGGTGGGGTCAAGTCTAGATCAGTTAGGAAATTGCAGTCCAAGCTAGAGATGAGGGTGACCTGAATTTATGTGACAGCAGAAAAGTAGATATATTAGAGTTCTATTTAGAGCCATAATTGACAATCCCTTTTGGTGGATTGAACATGGAGGGGTGAGGGTTGTGAGGTATATTCGTTTCTGGGGTTCCTGTAACAAATCACCACAAACTGGGTATTTTAAAAACAATACAAATTTATTCTCTTAATAGTTTTAGAGACCAAGCTTTTAGCAGAGCTATTCTCTCCCCTGCTTCCACCAAAGCCATAGGGGAGATTATGTTCTATGCCTTTCTCTCAGCTTCTTGTAGTTGCTGGAAATCCGACATCCTTTATCTTGTAGATGCATCACTCCAATTTCTGCCTCTGTCATTGTATAGAATTTTCCCCACGTAACTATTTTTGTCTCTCTTCTCCCTTTTTATAAGGACACCAGTTCTATTGGATTAAGGATCTACCCTACTCCAATATTAGCTTATCTTGCTTGCATTTGGAAGATCCTGTTTCCTAATAAAGTCACATTCACAGGTATTTATGAATGTGGGGCACACAATTCAACACACAATATGAGGAAAATACGGGAATAATCAAGAATACTTTCCAGCATACCAGGGCAAATACCTGTAGAAGTAAGGGCAAGCTACAGGAAGCAATCAGGAATCAAGGGTTTCATTTTACTCCTGGTTAGCAGGGTCAAGCAGGTAGTTGAATTGGGAAGTCTGAAGGTTGCAGAAGGAAAATCTGGCAGATGTTGTGGGTACTGTGCCCTACAGAGTGACAAACAAACAGAATAACTGATAAAAACAGAGAAAAAGTTTTTAGTCCAAGAAACCTAATGTTCAATCTCTCAAGACATGGGAGGAAAAAAAAAAAACTTGGCCGATGGTGTGCTGGTGAAAGTTGAACAACCAGTTCTCCATGGATAGAAGAGGAAAGCCCTGATTTGTAGAGTTTGCCAAATCCTGTGGTGTAAATACTCTGATCATGGTCAGCTGACTTGAAAACCTCATGAAAATTTAAATATTGTCTCTTTCAAGTTAGTACAGACTAGCTATAGTGTACCTCTGAAGTCAAGGTCCAATTTCATGGTACTTATTATTTAAGCTAAACAATTAGCTTACCCTCTGTGGGCCTTGACATCTTTATCATAAAATGAGTGGCTGGTCTTACATAACCTAAATCCCAACTGCAAAGCTTTGGTTTTATCCTGATAATAAGGTTCTTTGTACAGTATATAAGATTCTTTTTAATTTGATAGTTGAATGTGTACTGTATAGGTAGGTAGTGACATTCCTGTTCATTGACTGTCAGCTCCCAGTTTATAAATTTATATACAAATACTTGAAGGTGGAAGACTGAAAAGGGCTTTCTAATCTTCGGTAGTCTTATCTGTAGAGGTCTTTAGTGAAACGCAATATTTCGCTTTTTCAGCAACACTGCTAGTATGTATCCTC